ATTGTGTGTTCAGGAATTCCGAGCTAGTTAGAACACGTGCACAGGGGGGGAGCTGATGTAAACAACCCTGCGCGTCTGGATGTGAGGGGGCCTTGGACCTGGAATCAAGAATAACACTCCCAGAGCAGAAGGTTGGACAGGGGGAGAGGTGATTTAAAAGAGGGTTGTATATCTCTCAAGGCGGGCAAGACCCAATTGAGTAACAAGGCTGCGGGGGTCACCAGAAGTTCGCATTCGCCTAGTTAAGACAAAAAGCTCAATTATTCTGTATTGCTATTAAAGTAACGTTAAAGTCGGAATTTAACAACAGGGTAGGCTAAAGTTATTGATATTCACACCCACTCCAATTAAACCAGGCCACAAGTTACGCCTACTGAACCATCACCATTATTAAGTCAATATGAAATGTTATTTCCATACCTTAATACTTTCTATACAACTCGACCCGAAGCATATGACAATCAGAACCTTCCTAAGTCAAAATTGAATCGCACCCAGACAGGAGCGAATAGTCGATATAAGGTTGACGAGGGAAGGAAATTAAGAGCACGGCGAACTGCAAACGTAAGCAAAAAGCCGGGAACAACACCAGCCCAGCAACAGCGAGTGGGGCTTCGACAGGCCATAAAAGTAGAATAATAACTCCCGGGGTCAGGGGACACAAGAAGAAGCAGGCAGACAAAAACCAGAACTGACTCCAAGGTTCAACCGCCCTCACCTACTCAGGAGTGACGGAAATTAATGAGGCCTTGAATTAACGGCAGGCAACAACAACGGCGAGCAGAGATAGGGTGGGGCAAAGACTGCGGGCTATGAAATACAGCTTTGTGTCAGTAAAGCTCTGACAAACAAGTTAAGTTAAAGACATCACAATACATAATATCGCACATAACATCAATGTTAACGCTATTCACCGTAAACTATATTCCGCTTATATAACCATGCAGGCACCAAGGAATACGAATTCCTAGGATCAAGAAACTTACCCCTTAACCTAAGATATCGGAAATAAATTTATAGTAATAAGTATATGCATGAAAAGACAAAAGTAAAACTTATGGAAAAGCCAGGATAACGGGATGAATCACCACCAGGTCGAATATAAATACATAATAAAAAAAAAAACGATGTTAAACCCAGGGTCGGAGAGAAAGGGAGATCCCGGCCGTCTTTGTATCCCCGCAGCGCGGGATAGGAGTGTGTATACGCTCGGGGAAACACCTCCACTGGAGTCAAGCATCACGATGAAACGACAGACCTTAGGTTACATACAGAATCATAACTGTGAAATAGTAAGGGACAAATGTTAACTTAAAACTTTTAACCATTTCTTTGTGCGCCGGGTCGGAGAGAGGTTGCCCCTCCCTCCAGGTTGTGCAACACGAACAAAGACGCCTATGAGACGATTTGTAACGTCTGTGTTTTGGGTTCATGAAGAAGGCCAGACAAGAGATAAATTGCACCCAGACAGAGAGACGACTTCGAGGCAATTTGTAACATCTGATTGTTTGCTCGTGGGTTTTATGGAGGGAGTGTGACAACGGAATATACCGTCAGTGATGCACACAAGGACACACGGACGTACGGACACACACATGGACACACCTGCCTACGGACAGATCCTGACACAGCAAAAATCGGAAGCCCCGCCTTGTGGGCGGGATCCAGGGGGATTTTTCGGCATAAAGTAAAGGATCCTGAGCATTGGAAACCAGTGCGACCAGCGGGTTCACTCAGGAGCGCGACCGGGAGAGTCGGCTCAGGAGGAGTGCGACCAGTGGGTCCACTCAGGAGTGCGACCAGCGGGTTCACTCAGGAGCGCGACCGGGAGAGTCGGCTCAGGAGGAGTGCGACCAGTGGGTCCACTCAGGAGCGCGACCAGCGGGTCCACTCAGGAGTGCGACCAGAGAGTCGACTCAGGAGCGAGGGCGACCAGCGGGTCGACCCAGGAGCGAGCTCGACCGGGAGGGCCGACTCAGGAGCGAGCTGCGACCAGCGGGTCGGCTCGACTCATCTCCAGCTCGTCAACCTCTGCCGCCGGAGGTCTCTGCTGCCGCCGGAGTGGTGATCGTTGCGGTTTGGCGACGATCCAGCGCTGCACGCTACGAGCGAGTTGTGGGCGCCACCTACCGACCGGGTTCCGAACTGCGACAGCGTATCAACAGCCATCCGAACCACCACGGTGACAGGGGATCGACTGATACGTATGACGCGCACCGCCCCCTCACCACACGACCACCAGGCGTCTGTTTGACCTAAAGAATCGACTCCGAACACTGACTATTCAAGACAACTCTTACCACTCAAAAACACTCGAACCCATAAGCCATCCGTGGCTGGAAAGCATCACAACGAGACCGAGTGATGGCCCTCCGTCTCTTATAAGAGTATTCTTAATTTTTATCTTTAATATTTAGTGGGCTGTACTCTTAATCGCATAAATTCCCAACAGATCCATCAATACGAACTGATTCTTGGCACCTCCTTCCGCCGAGCCACGCTCACGTGGGGAGTGGTGGCCCACCGGACCCTTATCAGGTGATCTGGTCCCCAATTAGTAAACTTGGTATAAGATAACGAGCTTCGGAAAAGGAGCACCGTCGCAGGCCCTTACTCCAAGCCGTTCTGTTGTCAGATAACCTGCCGATGTATCTGTTGAGATTGGTGCCTTTAAGAATAATAACTGTTTTTGATTGTTTTGTTTTATCGCCGTATAATCTTTCAAGTATCTTTCAGTCATAATCGCCGCACGTACTCGCATCCTCTACAGAATATTCAACTGTTCCGTGACCCAAGGTGTTAACAACGTGATAAGGGTTGCGTATGATCAATAAGGAGTGCGGTACTGCGTGAACAATATTGAGTATAATCATTCATTAACGTTAAGGTTTTCTTAGCATAGTATTTGCATGTTTTAACGACTCTCTCTCTCACTAAGAACCATCGCGTTATGCGGGATCCATGTGCCGTTGTCAAAGTGAAATCAGACAATCGTTGATGATACTGTATTGATGCCGTATTGACGTTCCGGGATTGAGAGTTCGCATACTATATCATAGTTAAGGTTGAATTAGTAATAAATTGATCAATACAGAAGTGGTTGTGTGATTCTTTCCTGAAATCTATGCATAAGATCTGCTTCTGCGTTGAGATTTGAACTTGGTGACCTTAATAAACACACTAATACATACTCAGTAAATGTTAAAGCGATAACGGGGTGAACCGGGGTCTGGTTATCATAACGACTTGCATTATCATAATTACACCCACTCGCATAATTAATACGATTACCTCTTGAATTGGCATAATTAAAATGTGCGTAATTACATAAATTAACATATTTCCGGATAATTACACATTTGGCCAAATTTCATTTAATTATTATTATTTTCACTGAATATTCATAACCCACATATACAACATAATAATTTCACCCACGCACGCATACAACATAACAAATTTTCATACCCAACATATACAACAGGGTCTTCTTTGATTCAAAACTGAATTTTCAAGATCACATTGATTATATTGATAAAAAGACAACATTTCAATTAGTTTTTTTGTATCGACACAAGCACTGCTTCCCCCCTATGTTCCGCTTGGAATTGATAAAAGCTACCGTACTGCCTCTACTTGATTACTGTGACATCATATATAAATCAGACCCCAATACTATACTGAAAAAGCTTGACTCAATTTATCACTCGGCCTTAAGATTTGCCATGAACTTCCCATATAGGACCCATCACTGCGATCTCTACATTGGGTCAAACTTAACTTATCTTAATGATTGACGGCTTGTGCTTCAGATCTTATTTATTCACGATGTACTTACACAAAAATCAGCAGACTACCTGGTGGATCTCCTCACTGTTTCGAAGAACAAATGTGACCAAAGGTCTTTACTCATTTACCAGCTTCACATTCGTTATTGCCGTACAAATACTGGAGGAAGGGCCTTTTCTATTGATGCCCACAGGGTCTGGATTGCTATCGCCAATAAATTACCTGTGGGATCTTCACTCAAAACTGCTCTAGAGGAGTTGTACACCCCTAGCTGCCACTGCTATTCAGAATGGCCTGAAATCAAATGTATCATTCCGGATGACCGCTGCAAAGTATGATCTTGAGTTTTGATTATAGTGTGCTGATCTTTAAAAGTATATTAACACATTTTTATTCTGCTACTGATACTCCTGTTATGGAGTGACTCATGCAGCCAGCTATGGCTGCAAAGTTTGGTCGTACATGTGATGTATATCGTTTATTGTTAAATTTGAATCACAGTTCCTATGATCACTGTTCCATTGTTTTTATAGCTTTATTTTAGAGATTTGAAAACGTTTTGGTTTAGCCATGTTTGTTTGTTGTAGTAGAGAGTTAGCCTGATAACTTTAATCTGCAAAGTCTTATAGTTGTTATTGTTTGACTTGCATCCTACTGGGATCTTTGCACACAGCGTTGAAATACGGTGTTTTTTCTGAAAAACTTTGCGGTTTTTCCTGGATTTTTCTATTGCATGTAGTCACTTTAAGATGTTTCTTGTTCATGTTTTTGTTTTGTTGCGGTTGCACCCGAGTCAAGAGCCGCATGGCTCACAGGGTTATACCTAATATATGAAACTGAAACTAATAACAGCACTTGCCCCTACGCTCTGTTACAGGCTATACGGGGGATATTTGTCTTTGTTTGAGTATGTGGATGAGTGACTGAGCGGGTGAGGGGGTGAGGGGAGTGAATGGGTGAGTAAGTGAGTGTGTAAGTGGGTGGTTGAGTGGGTGAGTGAGTAGGTGAGTGTGTGAGTGGGTGAGTATCTGACAAGACAAAAGCGGCCAGGCGTGTGTGGTGCTGGCCACCCACCCCCTCTGTGCGTGCCACAGTGCTGGCAGCCTTCATTGGCTCTGCTACCCGCTTGACCCAACAGTCTGTTAAAGGCTACGTGGGGGTTCTTTGTCTTTATTTTGCTTGTTTGTTGTCGTCGTCGTCATCGCATGCAGGGTGCCACGTGCAACTCTCCCAGGCTCAAGTGAACGCCATCGCCGGCTCCTCCGCACTCGTCCAGGCCCGAGTCTTGACCCCCGACGGCTGCAAGGTCATTGGAGCGTCGTGGTCCAAGAACAGCGGGCAGAACCCTGTGGCCAAGTACAACGCCTCGACCCAACGCTGGACGGCAATCGAGGGCTCGGATAAGTACCTGGGCCGCGTGGAGCTGAGCCCCGCCGTCGTCATAGAGGCGAGCGGGAACAGCACCGTATCACTCTATCTGCAGGAGCTGAGGATGGAGGACGACGGTTTTTACCTGGTCCAGGTGTCCTGGAGCCGTTACGACGAGAACTGGCTGGACAGTTCGAATGTCTACCTGAGAGTCAGAAACCGTGAGGTCCACACCCACCGCCCACCCACCACACACAACAACATTAACCGCCATTCACCACTAAGTGGCGATGACATTACCATGGTGCTTGTGCCAGGCTTTGTGCACGTTAAGGCCACGTGACGTGTCGAACGCCCACTGGCAGGAGGTCACGGCACAGACCCAGGTGCCATGGGTTGACTGACTGAGATGACTGGCCGATGCACCACCTGTGTCCCCCTACTGTGCCAATTTGCTTATAGCCGCCCGGCACTCTGCTCGTTATTGAGCATCGTTCCTCTGCCCTCCGTTGTTGCTGGAGGGCGACTGCCTCCAACTGCCCAGTAGCAGCATCCTTAACGAGCCTCCTCTTCCACAGAAACTGATCTTGACACTGCTGGTACGAGTCATCGGCAAGTCCACTCAGCTCCACATCCTCTTGTACCACATCACACCATCTCTTCTTCTTTAGCCCATGCCGTGCCCGTTTAGACCCCTCTATCCGGCCGAAAAAAAGCTGTTTAGGAATGAATGCGATGGTTGGGTATGCGGGCTACATAACCCAGCCAACACAGCCTTGCCTGCTGGAGGAGCTCACAATGGGATTTTGTCCAGATCTTTCAAGGATTTGTGAGCTTCTCACATAATAATTTCTAGTTAAACCTAGGATGGATCATAGGCAGGCCAGCCTAAATGTTTCTAACCAGTGACGATGTTTTATTAGGGTGGTCAACGTTTAGCAAGCATAGAGAAAGGAGGGCATGACTGTGGCTGTGAGGACTCGAAGCTTTGTGTGGCGCGGCAGATCAGGTAGCTTCCACCAGCGTTATGCAGCCAATGAAAATATAATGCCACTCGACTGATTTTGAGCGAGACCTCAAACCAGAGCTGGTCATAAGCACGCTGCCCAGGTATGGAAAACTCTCCACTCTCTCCACAACTGCCGCATCACCAATGGCGAGTTGAGGGGGTGGAGCGCTTGATAGCACAACATACCCAAGCAGGTGATTAGTTTTGGTGGGGCTCATGGTAAGGTCCCATTTCTTAGGTTTAGCAGCAGTGCCTCCAACTCCTCCTCCAAGTAAGCAGCAATCACCAGATGATCGGCATACGTAACATGGTTGACCAATAGGAAGCCATCCCTTGACCATACCTGGGCATCGATCACCCATCCCATTGTATCTGTACCAGATTAATATTCCTCTGGTACAGCCATAGAAGGCTTCATGAACTATGTGGTCAAATAAGATGTTCAATAATGTGGGAGCCAGAGGACATCTCTGTCGCACCCCAAAGTGGACAGGGAATGGCTCCAACTCCCAGCCACGCAGCTTTACCCGGTCCTGCCCACCATCATGAAGGTCCTTAATGAATGTGAGCAGAGAGGCAGGGACTCCGAAAGCACAATGAACAATCCAGTGCCTAGGCATATTGATTGTATCATAGGCCTTGACCAGGTCAATAACGTAGAGATGTAGGTCCTGTTGGAATTCCCTACACATCTGCTGTAGCAGACAGAAAATATGGCGTCTGTGTAGGACTGCCCTGACCTGAAACCACATTGGGGTTCCACAAGCCTCTCCTCAGCGTGCTTGGCAAGGCAATGTTGAATAATGAAATTCTCGATTTAAAGCTTTAGTGACTGCAGGGATTCATCTTCTTGGTTCTTTCGGTAAAGTCACGTAGAAGGGAAATAATATTTTATTATGTTTTATTTTTATTATTTTATTATTTGCCCTTCTACGTGACTTTACCGAAAGAACCAAGAAAATGAAATTCTCGCTTGCAACTTTCATTAGTTAGCTAAGACCAGCCAACTGTGCGTTTCAATGGGATCCTAGATGTACACCGGAGTGGAAGAGTGACAAGCGCATCTTACAGATGACAGGCCGATGGTCAGTGGCAGATCAGCTCCACGGTAGGTCCTAGTGTCAAGGACATGGGCCCACATCCGCTGTTCCATCACTATATAGTTCAGCAGATGTTCTTTCTTGGACCCAGCATGCCTTCATGAAGTTGTGTGGATGTGCCAATGTCGGAACAGCATGTTAGTAATTACAATCCCATGGGCTACACAGAAGTCTAGCAGCCTCCTACCATTGTTATTGAGCTGATCTGGCCCAAGCCTTCCAATCACTCTAGCCCAGGTGCCAGCATCATGACCCACTCGGGCGTTCAAGTAACTAAAACGATGACTCTATACCGAGGGGCCACTTTAGCTAACACCTCTGACAGTGGGTCATAGAAGGCATCTAACTCATCAGCTTTGCCTGCATCCCTTCACTGATGTTCATTTTCGGTAGGGGCATAAGTAACCACGACCACAACTCCCCACTTCTCGTTGATGGGAAGGCGAGCCCACAGTAGCCTGGGGCTTACAGGTTCTGATAGTATATGCATTGTCTTTGAAACTGATTGGTCCACACCAGATACAGCTTTCTTTCAAGCCTCGAGCCTAGGCTTTCTTTCAATCCTAGAGCCTAGGCTCGAAAGAAAGCTGTCTCTGGTGTGGACCAATCAGTTCCAAAGACAATGCATATGCATATATGCAATGCATATACTATCAGAGTATGTTTTTTTTTGCATTCTGACCACAAGTATATGTGGTTAATGCAGCCATGATTCCTTGTTAAAAGTTTCAGTTTGGTGTTTTAACATCTTAACACCTTTTTTGTTGCCAGAAAAAAGGGGAAAACCTATTTTAATATTCATCTTCTTGGTTCTTTCGGTAAAGTCACGTAGAAGGGAAGTAATAAAATAATAAAAATAAAACATAATAAAATAATTCCCACGACGTTACGGCCACAACGCAAGCAGCCGTCCTCAGGTGAAAACCAGGTCTGTCGAGGCGACAGCGTCTGAATGAAACAGCACACGTGCTTGGAGCATCTTCTTGGTTCTTTCGGTAAATTACCTATTTTAATATTCATCTTCTTGGTTCTTTCGGTAAAGTCACGTAGAAGGGAAGTAATAAAATAATAAAAATTAAACATAATAAAATAATTCTCACGACGTTACGGCCACAATGCAAGTAGCCGTCCTCAGGTGAAAACCAGGTCTGTCGAGGCGACAGCGTCTGAATGAAACAGCACACGTGCTTGGATCATGTATATAAGCTGGGTTGGAAGGGGGGAAGAAAGGGGGAGCCTTAACAAAATAATATGCATATCAAGAGGAATTTAGCATATTTATGAGAAATGCAGGTATGTGATTAGTACTGCTTATGCCCGTGCATTATGCAGGATTAGCAGCATCAAAGGGAGGGGATATGGGAAATGCAGGTATGTGATATGGGAAATGTAGGTATGTGAATAGTACTATTTATGCCCGTGCATTATGCAGGATTAGCAGCATCAAAGAGAGGGGATAGGGGTAGCATTAATGAAGGAAAGGAGTGTTAATAGTATGTAGCTGCAGTAACTAAAACCACCACGTAAACAACTAAAGTATAAACTACATATTATCATCAGTATACTAAATATACTCTACAATAAGCTGAGTTACTAACAGTAAGTAATACATTACAATTCTACGTCGTAAAAAAAATATACAATATGCTTCCATCTAAACTTTATTCTCTTACATCACACGAGTCTACACCCTACTATATACTGCCATAGACAAACCCTATGGCAGTATATAGTAGGGTGTAGACTCGTGGGATGTAAGAGAGTTTAGATGGAAGCATATTATATATATTTTTATATATATATCTTTTTTTACGACATAGAATTGTAATGTATTACTTACTGTTAGTAACTCAGCTTATTGTAGAGTATATTTAGTATACTGATGATAATATGTAGTTTATACTAGATTTGAAGCTTTCGTGACTGCAAGGATTCATATTCTTAGGTTTTTTCGGTAAAGTCACGTAGGTAAAACATTAAAATTAATAAAAGTAAAATAAAATAAAAATCACGACGTTTCGGAGGCAACACAAGCTTCCGTCTTCAGGTGGAACCGTCACATCCGACAGCTGTATCAAGTAAATGAGAGATTACAGGAGATACCACTCCGTATATATAATGGTTGAGGGGGGGGGGGCAGGAATGGCCCACTTTTATTATTATGGTAAGGTGCGGTTTGAGACCATGAATAGACTGCACAACAAAAGACTGAGCCTTTATTATGGAGAGGTTCGGTTTGTGACTACGCCTAGCCTACATAATAAAAGTGTGAAAAAAGAAAGCTAAACCTGGTAGAAAGCTAAACCTGGTGAAACAACTGGCTGTCCATCAGTAACCTGCAATAGTTTTCTGTCAAATAAGATGGTTCAAATAAGTGTAGTTAAATCTTTTTTGCATGGTTAATCACATCTTTCCAATGATTAAAGGTGCGCCTTGAGACTATGAATAGACTGCATAACAAAAGACTGAGCCTTTATTATGGAGAGGTTCGGTTTGTGACTACGCCTGGCCTGCATAACAAAAGTGTGAAAAAAGAAAGCTTAACCTGGTAGAAAGCTAAACATGGTAAATCAAAACTGGCTGTCTATCAGTAACCTGTAATAGTTTTCTGTCAAATAAGATGGTCCAAATAAGTGTAGTTAAATCTTTTTTGCATGGTTAATCACATCTTTCCAATGGTTACTCAGTTTGTAACCATCATCACGGTTGAAATTATGTCTGTGTTTGTATATTTGTATGGCTTCGTGTACAAACCTTTGATGGTAGCCAGGAGGTTTGCAGAGAACCTTTGTCTCGGAAAAGACAATTTCATGAGAGCCCACCGAGTTGTAGCAATGATCGGCAACGGCCGAAGAATCAGTTCTGCCGTGTTTCAGATCTGACTTGCGCTCGCGGACACGATCAGAAACATGACGTTTCGTTTCTCCAATGTAGCAATCACCACAAATGCAACTCAATTTGTAGACTCCAGGGTACTGTAAGTCAGGAACGACATCCTTCACAGATGGAATCAGATCACGGATTTTATGCACTGTACTGAATCGGACTTGGATCTTATGTTTGTTAAGAAATTTGGAGATCTTTTTGGTCACGCCTGCTATGTATGGTGACG